AGAGCCATGAGCAGATAGATGGGAGCCTCCTTTCAGACATGCCCTGCATGTAGCTTCCATTCTGTACCTCCCAAACCCCACTTTCAAGGCCTCTGGGGTATGATATAGCAATGGGCACTGCTCTGCAACAGTCCCCGCCTGGATACCAAGTCAGATGAAGTCATCCAACCTGATCTTAACACTGGAATCTTGAGAAACAGCATCCTCCTATTGATTCACTGCTGGAAATTTTCTCAATTCCTTTTCATCCAGCCTCCTAAATCCACAGTTAATGGGCTACCTAACAGCCAAATTGAGATTTAATCCTTCATTCTCGTCCAGAGTAAGGGAACTGGGTTATTTATCTGAATCAGTGGTAAATGGATCTTCTTTCATGAAATAGACCCCCACAAGATCTGTCCTTTTCCTCCCTACAGGATGAATGTGGCCTTACAGCTTCCTCCAGGAAACCCTCCTTTCAGTTCTGCAAGAGTGGAGGCAGCCAGAGATGCACCATGACGAAGCTCGAGCTTTGCAGGGACTACCTTAGACATAGGCGGAAGTGAAGAAGTGGCTGGAGAGTCAGGTTGAGGTAAAACGAGTGCACTATTGTTTTTGCACTCTGCTAAACGTGAGCATTCACTGCATTTAGGCTCCTTCCTGTCCTATGTGTGTATCCTCTTACCTCAGAAACATATAATGCCACAAACAACACCAATCCAGAGGGGAATGTCCTGCAGCTGCACAGGCCCTTCCAAAGCGCACATTGTCTGTCCCTGTTTCGCTGAACAAATTCAGAACCAGCTCTGCTGTACGGCTAGTTCTAAATGCAATAGAGACCTTATGCATCTTAGCAACGAGGGCAGAGTGTCAAGTGTCAGGAAAGAAACACACTTCAATGAAAAGAATGTAATAAAAGCTAATGTGGGAACTCTGGTTCCTTCTGGCATCAAGAAGCAGATTGACTCATGTTTTCATTTTTGGCTAAGAACTGAATAATGAAAGGCCAAGTGTGGCTGTGGGCCAGATGCCCTTGCCTGCCAGGGAGTCCTGACCTCACCTTGTGCCCTGCTAAAACAGCACAACAGGAAGTTTTGACATCAGCTGCCAGAAAGCCTGTGTGATACTGAGCGCCGACAGATGCACAGCCAGAGTAATTCTGCAGGTAGGGGAGGAAAAGGGAGCGGGACTGCTGGTGCTTTTTCTGTTAAAACATTTGTGCTGACAAGCAACCGTGCACTGTGGTTTCCTACTGAGAATGTAACAGAGGAAGTCACCTTCCTGGGCAAGGTGACTAACATGCAGAAGAGTGAAAATGGACAGGGCAAGGCTCCTGGGTGGAGAGCAGGTATTGTACATACACGTTCTGGCCCTCCGTTTTGAGATGCTGTCCCATTTCTCTGCCAAGCCAAGTCCCTGTCTACACTGGAAGATCCAAAGCCTGAGGACACAGATAATATATTCACTATGAAAAATTCTGAGATTCACAAATGCACCCTGCATAGTGGTCACACGTGGGACCTTTGAGCATCCCCAGGGGTTAGGAAATATGTCTGATGTAAAGGTACCCAGAAATGCCAAGGCTGTAACCATCTCTTCCTTCCTACCCAGCAGGTCAAGAAGCAGAAGTGATGGCAATAGGATGTGGGAAAACTGAGGATAGCAGCTTCTGGTCCTTAAAATAGGAAAAAACTATCACATAGAAGAATTTTCCTTTTACAGGAAGAAAAACGTCAAAGACAAAGGTTTCATAGACCCAGTCATTCACCAGACTCTTCTTGAAACCTCAGGAGAAAAGGCACAGCTCAGGACATTTATAGTTGGCAAACACTCTGCCTCCTTATGGCCCAGAAACTGGGATGTTGTGAGGGCCGTGGAATGAGGGAGAGCTGTTCCCAGCCCCTGCTGAAACCCTGCCCACTTCCCTACAGAGATTCTGGGCTTAGAAGGAGACCTGAGTGTTCTTATAAATGCTTTATAATGTAAAAGTGGACAAGGAAGAACAAAAGAGTTGCACTATATCCTTCCACTGATTTGCTTATCCCCTGTCATGCCCACACAGATAGCATACATCCCCTTCCCCAACTCTTCAGAATCAAATTCTCAAATGGACGTTGTCAAGTTTACATTATAAAGAATCCCTTTCTTTCATGTATGCAGCCATAGAGAACAGAGATTTCTCTGCAGCCACTACATAGGAGCATAGATGCTTGTGGGAAACACACGTGATGGCAGGCACAGATCTCTGCAGCAGCAGCAGGACCCAGGAACAGCACAGCTTTCTTGGAGGATTCAGCTGGAGGCCCTCCCCTCCCTGTGGTTAGAGGCAATGCCCTTGCAAGTTGGGTTGGGTTCTGAGAAGGTCCTCACTAGCAGCGGTGGAAGGTACACCAAGTCACCCGTGATTTCTGAGGAGACACATAATGATGCTACCGTGGAAGCCACCATCAGTTGTTCCAATCCCCTGAGCAATGGCCTTTGCTGAAAACTCAGTAGGAAAAGGTTCAGTTCCAACGAGGAAAGAAAGAGATTAAGGCAGGAGCATGGTTATCTGAATGGTGGGCATTCGATAGGGCTGATCTATGTAACAGCAATGGAGGTTATACCCACAAGGAGACAGACACCTGGCAAGGGTGCAGACAACCCCACATTTGGCTTCCCTATTGGCCTGAGCCTCTGGCCAAGGGATCATGGGCTCAGTGGCTATTCCACTCTATTCCCAGGACACGCTACTGTGCCGGCAGGTGAGACTCCTGCTAACCCTTTCAAGTGATAGGAGAGCTGAATTCTCTGATACCTTGATGAGAAAGGGAAAGAGCAGAGTTAGGAAGCATGGGAATATGAATGGGGGAAAGCATCAGCACACCTCAGCGAATGTGAGAAAGACCAGAGGAAAGTGGAGTGGGTGCCTGCGCTCTGAGCAGAGAAGGGAGAAGGAATGGGCATGGCAAGCTTGGAGAGCCAATGACAAGGGAGTGGGTGGAAAAGGATGAGCAACTATCATTTACATTTTGGAGAGAAATGAAGAGAGAGTTCATAATGACATCACTAACAGCAAGGGATGGATCATAACCCTCAATCCATCACAAAAGCATGGGTCCCAGAACCAGGGGATTTCTGGAGGTCCCCTGCACTGTACCTGGTCTGAGAACCAACAGAGAGGCTTCAGCTCCTGGGCTGTTAAGGCTCCTCCGCCACCAGCACCAAAGCCACCACTACCATGTTTCAAAGAGCACAAAGAAAGAGCAAGACAGATGACAACCTCACAGCACATCACTGTTACGGAGTCTGGGGGAAGATGGCTAGACTGTGGACAAGGGAGGCCAGCAGAGACTTCCTCAGAAACGCAACCCCTTGCCCACACTTGCACCGGCACACTCTGCTGGTCACTGCCTGCACAGGCATGAGTGTAGGTGGGTGTGTGCAAAACTGACCCACAGTCATTTTCAATTATTTGCATACATTATGCACCATAGATATTTTACTTCTACCTTCAGAATCTCATGGCATGATATGGGAAAATTAGAATATTGTAGGGAATTAATATTCACCCATCACTTGCATTGTCAGGACCTGACTATGCATTTTACATGCTTTTCTGTGTCTCCATTCTACAACTAAGAAACTGAGGTTAGGAGGATTAATGATGCTCAAGGATACAGCACTGTAAAGGAGAGAGCTGGGGTTCAAATGAGGCTCTGCCCAGCCTCATGTCCACACCTTTCCTGTCCATCTGTTATGTCTTAGATGCTGCTCTCTCTCCACTCACTAAAAACAAACTGTTCTGCTGGATCAAAATAAGAGAAAAGAACAATATGGTAAATAATGTATGTAAATGAACTAATACAATGAGAAGGAAAGTTGACCTTTAAAAACCCAACGATCATAATTTATTTATCTCTCACCCAAAAAAAAGTGCCCTTCCTTAGGACAAAGGCAGAGTTTTAACACATTCATGACGGCACCATAATTTGTTTGTTTCACTGCAGGGCACTTGAACCACTTCATGACAGTGCCATTGGGCAGCCTTTTAAAAAATTAATGTTATTAATAAAAACCAGCTGCCTTCAGTGAAATCAGCTTCCAGATGTTGTCCTTTCACCACATCAGAAAGGAAGTGTAGCTAGTCCTGCCTAGTCAACAAAGGCCCCCCACTCATTCAGAGAGGTTGGAAGGAAGACTCAGGGAATTCCATGGTGCCAGCCAGAAGAGATGGCAGCTGCTCCGGGCTCAGACACAGCCCAGAAGGCTGTCATGCACCCTTCCAGGTTTCTCCCCAAATATGGTTAGCATAGAGGGGTTAACAACATCTCTGTTTCCTCTCCAGGGCTAGGAGAGCCCCTTTCCTTGGCCCAGTTCCACAGGACACATCGAAATATGGTTGTAAACTGACTTTTGCTGAATCAGTGCATAAAGAAAAAAAATCTCCCAAACATAATAAATATGGTTTAGTGACCTAAATGGTTTCAGACTCATTTTCTTAAGCGAGTTGTCAAGAAAGTTTTGTGAGTTGGCTTTTATGACCCTAGACTAGTTCTCCATCATCCTTGTCTATGAACAGAGAATCTCTCCATGCTTAGGATTCTGGGATGCCCAATTTTGCTCTGCTCTCCATACCCTTCTTCCCTTTAAACTACTCAGTTGACAGATTCAAGATGTGAAACGGCACCTCAGATAACCCTAGGTCTGTCCCTGGGTGCAAACACGTACTGCCTGTACCCTGAACACCTGCCATGTTGACTCATCTCCAGGAAAGACCTCCTAAGGCCTCTAACTTCTTTCTCCTGATGCTCACATCTCCTGCTTCTCCATCCTATAATTTAGGGCACATGGAATGAATCTTGACAGCCCTGAGGAGCTCTGCCGAGGGCAACTGGCAAGCAGATGCCCAGGGCAGCCTTCTTTGGTACTACTCCAAGGGTATTTCATTTCTCAAAGTCACCACAGGGGTGGCCTCAGATCAGCCAGTGTTTCCAGGAAAGGTGGAAGGAAGGGAGAAACACCAGAAAAGAGCCACTTACGCGAGAGCAAAGGCCACCAATGCACCAACCACCACCACAAAGTCCAAGATGTTCCAGAGGTCTCGGAAGTAGGACCCATCCTGCAGGATCAAGCCTTGGTCTATCATCTGCAGGCCAAGGGTATAGACAGACACGCATGAGCCCAGGAGGCAAAGACAACACCTACCCAGAGGTCTGGATCACTGTGGTAATATCTCCGCTGCCCCTCTCCACCACCACCCCAACCTGGGCCTGAGAGCAGTGGGAGGTCCAACAGGGTCATACCAGGAAATCTGAGGCCTAAGGCCTCTTCTCAAAGCCACTAAGATTCTTAGCCTTCAAAGAACCCTGCCATTTTTATCTTTTCTTTAGTGGTCTACAGCTCCAGACCTTGTCACATAGGCAAGATGGGTAAAGCCTTAGATGGTAAAACTGCAAATAATATAGACCCAAGAGGCATCACGGTGGTTAGAGGGGAGAGTTATAGTTGAGTGTAGATGAGGTCTGGGAATATTCACCTCTGCCTAACTCTTGCTTTGGCATGCACCCAGACTCAAGCCAGGCAGTACACAGGGCAGCCCTACTCCTGGGGCTCTGTCATGAGCTGGTAGATGACAGCCTTGGAGAAAGGGACTAAACTAAAGAATTATATGGGTGACCCATGCAAAACCCAGAGCCCACATTTCCTCTGGAAGCTTTTACCTTTATAACCATCTCAAAGGTGAACACGCCTGTGAAAACATAGTCAAAATACCTCAGGACCTGCAAAATATGCATGGCAGAAGGGAAGAGAACCGTGTGAGGCCCTGAGGCCACACACACATTCCTGCCCACAGTCATCAAGTCCTGCACAGCCACCCACCCCCTCTTAACTTCACCTCAGAAATAAGGCACAGGGTTACAGCTGCTCACTGGACTCAGAGAAGGATGCATGGTGGAGAGGCACATGGCTCACTGACTCAGTGCCCATTGGGCACATGGTTCAGTGACCAGTCCTTGGCCAAAGCTGAATGTCTTGGGCTTCAGTGGCCCCACAAAACCATCGCTCCAGTTCTGGTCTAGGACTTGGAATCTTTGTCAGTTCCTTTCCTTCTCACAGCCATCATTTATTCTCACATTCACCATGGGGGATACCCGGGGATGTCTCAGCCCTCTGTGGTGGAGCTATAGCTCCCCAGCTTCACACACATCATCCACGACCCTGTGTCCCCGTGTCAGATCCCACATTCAAAGTCTTGGGTCTCTACAGAACCCTGGCTGCTTGGTGCAAGGCCCATAGCTGCAGCATAAAGGCCCAAGGAGTGGGTGGCAGATAGATGGGAATGGTCCATAGTCCTCTGTGAGGAGCAGGAAGACCAACCTCTTCAACCTTCCTCATTCCCCTGCAACCCTCCCAACATGTTGGTTCACCTCTGATGCTGGAGGGAAGGGTAGAAAAGGGTGGGCCCCAGGGCATTTTGTAGGGTGACAAATAGCCCTTAGGCACCCACTTTGTTGCGCTCAGAGTTGGTCAGGACTGGGTCCTCTGCTGCCAGGGCAATGCTGCTGGCTGCGATCACCAGGAGGATGCACATCTCAAAGTAGCGCAGGTTTACAATGTAGTGGCAGGCCCTCCGGATCCTGTGCAAGGAAGAGTGGAGCCCTGAGAAGCCCATCGCTCCCAGGCCCCGACCCCCACCCCCTACCCCTCACACACGTCAGCTTGCTTTAGACAGCCAGCCCTTTGCCAAGGAAAGCCGCCAGGGAGAGCAATTTAATTTCCCAGGCACCACCCTTGATTTCCAGCCCCAGTGGGGGAAGGTAATCAGATTGGCTAGAGGCTACAGCACGCAAGCCAAGATATTATCTGCAAGTGTGACCCAGGCACAAGAGCAGCCAGCCTCACACTGCACACTCTCGGGTGCTGCATGGCGCTTTCCCCTGCTGCAAGGAAACTGAGACCTGCTTAGCAAATGATAAAGATTCAAGGAACAGACATTGACTTTAAGACTTCTGATAAGAACGGTAGCGGGGTTCCAGACCCTGCCCCAGGCTGCCCTGGTGGAAGTGTGTATGTTCTATGCTCTTTCTTTCAGCCTCAGATGAGTGGACACCTTGTTCTACCCCATCCCAGAGCTCTGTGTGAATCTACCCACATGGCCACCAGTAGCTGCCTTGTCCTCCTAGTCTCAGAAGCTGATTTACGTGTCACTCTTAGCACAGAAGGCAGCTTCTCTTTCCAAATTTCACCTTTCCTGAACCTAACCGTCTAGATTTATCCAACACACCCACCTCATACCCCTACCTCTATTCTAGGGAACATGTCCACCTCAAAATTCATAAACAGGACAGTTAAATCCAAACCCTCAAACTCCACTGTCAGCTCTGTCCCCTTCCAGAATGGCATACACAAGTAGACTTTCCTCCTCCCCCAAGCCACCTACTAATCAAACCATTAGTGAAGAGCCCTTTCCTTACATTTCTCCTCCATCCTGTCTTCAGTTACAGTATAGGATGGGCAGAGCATTCAGAAGTTACTTAGAGCCATCTGCTCAGATGCTTCTGTGTCTAGCACCCTCTACCAATATGGAGAAGGCTCAGGAAGAGGACGGGCCTTTCACCTTTCCTGCTCCCCAACAGACAATCCTGGCTCATACCCTGGTTGACTCCCCTAGCGCCAGAAGAGAAAGGTAACCTACGGGTTGGTGGTGCTGAAGATGAACATGGAACTGTGGGGCACCATGGCTTTGCCTGTCTCTCGCTTCTCCTTTTTCTGCTTCTTCTTCTCTACTTCTTCCTCCTCCTCCTTGATCTCTGCCTCTTTCAAGGGACTGGCTTCTCCATCCGTCTTGTTGCTAACTGCAAAAGGAACATGTTGAAACCTTCAGCAACCCAGCTACATGCATGACGCCCTCCATTTCCAGTTGATGACAGCATGCGGACATGAAAGGACAGCAGGAATTCCCTTAGAACCTTGAGGACACTGGGCTTATTTTACACATTACATTAAATTAAGCCCTTTCCACATTTTATGTGGGAAAGCCTTTCAAGCCACATAAATTGAATCATGTGCTCCTCTTCTCTTGCTGAATGTTTACAGTCTGGCAAATAGCAAGGTTGTTTCTGTCACAAAGTTTACAAAGCGTAGGTATTATATATAAATTATTGTTCTTTGTGGAATTCTCATGTCAATATACCTTGAGTGGCATAGATTATTTTTATTATTCCTATCCTTCAGATGAGAAAACTGAGTTCAGACAATCTAAGTACCTTTTTTAAGCTTATAACAGGGTGGACTCCCAATTTGAAATCATACGTGCTTGAAATGAAATACTATTGCAGTGGAAGATTTTAAGAAACTATTACTCTGCCTGCAGCTGCTGTGTGGCTGGTGCTTTTTCCAGCCATGATGGATGTAGCTATGAGAATGTAATATTCATATGAATATGGGCCTGCGACTACACTCCCAGGCTGGGAGAACCGAGGAGCCAGGGGTGAGGCAGGCGGAGCTCTCGTCCTGCTGCTGTCTATTCGATAAGCAGGATACAGTGAGGGTTAGCTGGGCAGGAGGCTCAGGCTAACAGATCACAGGCAGGGACCCAGTCAACTCCGACTGCTTGCTGCTCAGGGAATGGCTCTGCCCTGTAGCCAGACGTGAGGAGCATTGGTGGTCCAGGGCCGTGCAGGGCCATGTGAGAGGTAAACCAAAGTGTCCAACAGTTTGCCTGTCTCCCACTCACAGTAACTAAGAGCACAGATTAGCCCTGGGAATGGGGGATGGTCAAGGTGTCTGATGTTGTTTTTCATCTGAGATGCTCCCAAACACTTCTTATTTATTAAAGTACAAAACCAGACTGATACCAAAAGCATCTGTGAGTCTGGGAACCTGAGGCATGCCCAGCTCGTGCCCTGTTCTCTACTGTAGGAAAAAGCAGGATTGACCTCTTGAGTGTGGAGAGTGAGAAGGGAGGAAAACAGGGCAGCGGAGTAAGGAGAACTAAGAGAGAAGACTGTCGTGGGAAAGAAAAAGTGGTAAAAGTAGAAGGCAAAAAGCAGAGAGGGAACCCCGCGGTCACAATTCAGTAATGACAGGGCAACAGGTGAGTTTGATTCAGAGCTGAGTGCAGGGCCTGGGAGACTGAGGTATCAATGCTGGGAGAAATGGAGCAGGAAGGCAGAGATGGGACACAGGATAGGAGGGTGTGGCAATGATGCAGGCATGGGACACGGTCAGGCAGCGATGGGATGTACGATGAAGACAAGGATGGGTACGGGGCAGGTCAGGGCAGGAGAGGAAATGGTTTCCCTTTAAAGTGTCATGGATTAACACCAGTTGCCTGAGAAACCTTGGATGGAGAGAGAATGGGACTAAAAGCCCCTAGGAGGAAAAAGTTGATGTAATAGAATAATCAAGTGTTAGTATAGAAAAGGCCTCACAGATCATCTAGTTCAAGTCGCTAACTTTGTAGGTAACCAACTTAGGCCTGGAGAGAAGCAGAAGTTTTGCAGAGGTCACTGGCTGAGTGCAGCCAGGACCAGGAAGACGTCCCCTACTGCGATGCTCCCCTGAAAGGGTCCTCGCTTGCTGGGGCAGCAGAGTATTTGGAGGTCACAGAGAAGGCAGCTAGCTGAATATACACCTGGACAAAACCACACGTGATCACTGTAGACTCTAGAATGACCCCAGGGCCATGGCTTAGGAAATTTTCTAGGCAAAATCTAAGATGTAGGAAACCCTAACTTATTTTTTGCAGGTGACAGCAGCCACTGTTTTGCTAGCTGACAGTTCTTTAGAGCTGCTGGTGGGACTTTCTCTGTGGTTTTATTGGAAGGACTGGAGCCAGCTGTCCCTAGCTCTGGGCAGGATGAAGTAGTGAGGGGGGACAGGGATGGAGCTCACTGTGCACCACTGTTGAATCCACCAAGGGGTCCACTTCAGGGATGGCAACAGTGACACTAGTGCTCTCCGTGGTGGCCTTGTCTGTGTTGGCTGTGATGCAGGACAGGTCTGGCTCACTCTGACTGATGCCCCGGCCCACGTCCAGCTGCACATCTCCCAGGAGGGCTTGCTCACTGCTGCCCTCTGCTTCCTGTTCCACCAGCGTTGTGTCCTTCCCCACTTCCAGCTCAGTCTGGGGCAGGACCAGGGGTGTGTCTGACTCATCCAGGGCTCCTGCCAGCCCCGAGCCTCTGGGCACCATCAGACTGTTGGTCCTGAGAAGAGAGAGGAGGACACGGTCAGGGCTCCAGCATCTGCTGCAGAGGTGGAGAGGGACAGGGCCTGCTGGCCACATCTGAGACTTCATCCTATCTATGTATCCTTGCCCCATTTAGAGGTTCTCTAAAGTAGACCCTCATATTCAGGGTGACAAATGCCACTACATGTTATACTTATTCATACAATTTAAAGGTGTATTAGCATTATCTCCACGGTATAAAAGGGGAAACAGATTTTGAAGGTTTCCCGAAGGATCTTCACCCCAGCCTGTGCCATGTGCCTCCAGGGCCCTCCTGGGACTTCCTTACCTCCTTAAATCCTGAGCTCGCTCCTCCTCATGGATTGTTGGCTCCTTGCCTCCATGGCTGCCCCGGAACTCATGGTCCTTCTCCCCATCGGGGCCCCCTGCTTCATCTAGACTCCGCTCCTGGCTGGCAGACCTGCTCCGAGAGGCCGATGCAGACTCCTTGCCTTCGGTCCTGACACGACGATGCCGGCTGCGCCTCTGGCTCTGCCTGTGCCTGGCCCGGTCTTCAAAGGTTACCACAGTCTCTCCTCCCCCAGTCTCCTGCTGGGTGGGGTCACAGTTCCCATGACAAGGCCTGGCCAGCCACGGTGGCTCCCGTTTGCCTAGGGACAGGGGGCTCCTCTGGTTGTCCAGGGCACCAGTCAGGTCCCCTCCATCCCCTCTGAGGGATGACCCCCGGCTGATGCGCTCCTCTTCACACTTCTCCAGGCCCAAGCCTAGAGCCAGGCCTTCGATGGGCCTGGACCTCCGGTAGAGGCTGGGGTGAGCATTGAGTGGGTTGAGGGGGCTCAGTGGGTTGAGGGGGTTGAGGGGGTTCATCGGTGGGGCCTCCTCTTTGTTGAGGGCCTCTTGGCTAGACATCTGCATGTGCCTCCTCAGCTGGCTGGTGCGCTGCTCCCACACCGACATGTGGTGCCGGCGCCTCCGCTCCCTCCTGGCAAAGGTGAAAGGGTGAGCCTGTTAGCACCCACAGCCACAAGCTGGGGAGGGTAGCCACAAGGGCCATGAGTGAGGTAGGAGCACATGATGGGAAGGAAATGGGAGAACCCAGGGTTTGAGACAGGAAGCACAGAAAGATGTGGGAGCAGAGTGGCCACGCATAAGTCGGCTGATAGACCAGCGCCTCCCAGCCCATTCCAGGGTGCTTTTCACTCCAACCTCTGCTCAGTAGTGGCCAAAGGCTTGGGTAGAAATGAGCCTTGGCCTGAGTCCCATGTCCCCAGGGCATGGGAGGGCAGTTGAACAAAGACTTCCTAGGCTTCTACTCCCCTGTGCTCCTTTGATTCAGAGTACCACACTCCATACCCACCAAGGTCCATCTCCGACCACCATCACCCCACTCTCTTTCCCTCTAAGATTGCAGCGTGGGATGGCAAAAGCTGCAGTGTATCGTGATTTGATGCCAATAACAGTGAGAACAGTGGCAACCAGATTCAGGTGCTAAAAGTTTTGCCGTTATCCCCCAAAATAAGAGTGATTGGTCTCCTCTACAGTAGCTATCAGAACTCACAGAAGACCATGTTGCGTTGACCACTGTCCACTCATACCCAAACCCACTGCTGAGCCCTGAGGCTCAGGGGCCTAGATGAGTACTCATGGCAGCAGGAGCACACGAACATGACATGTACAGCGGAGCACACAGGAGTGGGCCACTGGGCGGGAGGGTACTCCTTCCCTCACGGGCTGTGGGCACACACCTACCAGCCATTGACGGCACACTCTATGTACCCACACGCACCCTTACACAGCCCACACAGAGCTGTACACAGCTACCTACAGAAAAGAAACACCCACCAACACTAATCACCAACACCAACACGTGCCACTCACAGGCCACACAGAAGAGGGAGCAACACACATGGTAACATACTTTAGACACACACTGATATAAGCACTTTGAGAGGCACATATTCACAGACCATGTGTGTGAACACACACACACACATACACACACACCAAGGCACACACTGACGCACACACTCAGTGCCACTTTGTCCATAGCAAGGACAGAACCACTCACAAACACGCAAACCGGTACACACATACAGGTGGCTGCTGCGTGGCTCCCACATCGACATGTGGTGTCTTCTCCTTCTGTCTCTTCTGGGAAAGAAAAATGAACAGGTTCAGTTCACCCCAACCTCTAGGAACCTTGAGCCCCCAAATCACCAGCGATCTCCAGAGGATTCTCCAAGAGCCTATTTGCCCACTGTAGACTCCCAACCTTCCCTTCTCCAGTGGAGTTGGGAATTGAGTCCTTGCTACTACAAACATGGATCCTGTTTTTGAAGCACACATGGAAACACACAAAGGACATACAATTACATACAAGGTACAACTTCTGCTGCTCAGACACCAGGCCCTATCGGCACTCACACTTCTATCATATCATCTTGTGGGGACCTATTTAGAAAACTTGGATGGGAAGTGGTTCTCTCCCTGCTCAATCACTCTAGGATTACAAAGCACATTCGCACAGATGTGAAGCCCCTGTAATCACTCCTTTAGCCCAATTCAGTCTATCAAAACTCACAGGGAATGAATGCTGTGCCGTACGTATCAGTGAGGCTACTAAACAGCCTACGGGCAAAGGCTGGGTGGCCGTCTGTGTTCTCCAGGAGGTGAGCAGTCCCCCTTGCATTTGTGCCATACAATACCCAATCAGAGGTATTAAAGTTCACTCTTTTCAGCCTAGGAAAGAACAGTATTGACTTTCTTGGCTTTGAACAAAGAATTTTCTGTTCTCTACACTGTGTCCTTCCAAACACAGGCTAGTGGAAGTTAAGAATTGACAAGGGTGGGCATCACTTTTGAAAGTGGACAGGACACATGGTAGAATGGGACTATGAGTACAGTGCCCCTTGGGTACCTTTGGGGATGCTCAGAGTGTGCCTGGTCCAGTCACTGGGCTAGGGATTCAGTCCACCCAAGTGGGCCCCACAAGACCTAGGAGTAGGCAAATGCAGCTCCTTCCTTGAGAAAACTGCCAGCCATCAGTGCAGAATGTACTGGGAAATGGAATGCAGCCCAAATGCCACATGTGGCATGTCTAGAGAGAAACCCGCTAGAAGAGCAGGGCTGAGCGACCCTCGGCCCAGGAATTCCTCCTTGGGTGTCTAGAAGAGGAACAACCACAGGTGTGCACTTACATGCCTGATGCTACAGATATCGCTTTGGAGATGCCCGAGAGCCCTCAACTGAAGACTACATTCCCAAGTGTGGTGGGCTGCACTGAGGATGGCTGCACCACTGCACTGAAGAGGCAGTGGGGTGGAGCTGCCACGAAGCGTGGATAGTGGGTAAGAATGAAAGCATGTGTTCTAGACAGCAGCGCGCGCACACACACACACACACACACACACACACACACAGAAGGAAAACCACACTGAACCATCTAGATCCTCAATTAAGCAAATACCAGCCCTCCACAAGCTCATGTGTAAGAATGCAAGTACATAGAAAGATTCTCCCCTGTGTATTCACATGAATATGGGTACACACGTGCATGCACACACATACACGCACGCACATGCACATGCGCGCATACAGAGAGGTCAGTCTCTAACTCACATAGATCAAGCTCCCCCTCACTTCTTACATACACAAGATCCAAACTCACATTCATACCTAAAGTGCACAGAGGAATATCTACACACCTCCAAGCTATGTGAACATGACCTCCCGTACACCCCGCCCCCCATGGCCTTGTGGGAATAGAAAGGGCATGCAACATCCTTCCCATCACATTAGTGGGGAAACCGAAGTCCTGTGATCCTGAGTGGCTCTCTCCAAGGCCACAGAGTATGTTACCTACAGAACTAGGACTAGCACTTGGGCATGTTGTGATGGTGTTCATTTGTGTCTCTTGATGGTAGGCACACCCCAGTCCTGTGGTCTGGTGGGCACACTTGGCACAGCACATACGTCCACCAGCCATACACACGGCAGTACACATGTGATCACCGGAGCCCAGGCCTCAGCTCGTCTTGGATGTCGCAGCACCTTCCTCCACCTTGCTGTGCCCTGATGCACACTGTGTGATTCCCACGGCCTTGTGCCTGCCCACATTTCATTCATTCATTGCATAAATAGTGAGTTTCTACTTTGGGCCAAGCACCATCCCAAATCACATCTCTCCAAAACCCCACTTCTCCCCCAGGCTTCCTTGTCTCAGTAAATAGAACCACCCACTCCTAAGCAGCAGCCAGTCCTATCCATCCACAATTTTGGATACCTGTGTGTATGTGATTTTAGCTCAAATTCCTGAGTTCAGGGAAGGTAGGGTAGAGACTACTCAAGACTCAGAGACTATTCTGAAAATGCTCTCTGGTGCTTCCCCATCAGCCTGTAATGAATGTTTTCCTCTTTCTCACAGAAGAGGGGTCCAGATACAAGGCCTCCACAGATATGGAAGGTGAAAATAAGCTGAGAGCCACTGGGGGAGGGGGGCCATACACAGAACTTGGAAGGGGCTTCATAGCCTTTGCACGGGCACCAGGCTACCATGCACGCCTTCCTTACCACCCTCAAGTTACAGGTGACACGGTCTGTTGTTGAGAAACAGTTCTACCTCCAAGGGGGCTCAGAGCCATCCCCATAGGTTCCCTGGGTCACTCCTAGGGTTTCTGACACACCAGAGCAATAAAAAGAATCCCAGGTTTTTAGCTCCTCCTTCAGACTTCCTCCCTCTCACTGCACAGAGGCCAGCCCCACACAGGGCTCATGCACTTTGTCCTTAGTCCTACCATGGACCACTCACCCAAGCTACATTCTTGGAAGAATGTGCACCATCTGCTCCACTTTATCACCTGCATTTCTCTCCCTACTCCACTCCACCTGGATCATCCTCCCACCCAGCTACTTGTGTGGTCACTAACATCTTTTGTTTTGCCAACTCCCATGGTCCCTCTCCTGTCCCCATCATGATGATCCTTCATGGGAAGGTAGCACTGCTGCACCCTTCTCTGCTCTGCAAGGCTCTCCTCTGTAGGTTTCCAGGGCGGCATGCTTCTGTTCTCCTGCCTGCTGCTCAGGCTTGCTCAGTCTCCTTTGCTGGCTTCTCTCGGGTAGACTTCAAACAGAGGAACACACTCAGCCTCTGTCCTCAGCTCCTCTCTTCTTCATCCCTGCTCTCCCTAGGTCATTGCACACACACTGATGGCTTAAATACCATCTAAATGCAAATGACTTCCTCTAAACCTTTATTTTAATCCTGACTTCTCTTCTATGCTCCAGACTCCTGCAACCAATAGCCTATTCAAACACTTAGATGCCTTAAAAATATGTCAGATTTAATGTGGCCAAAATGAACTTTGGATTTCTAACATCTACAGAGTATCAGTAAATATCACTACCTTCTGCCCAGCTGTTTAGGCTTCAAACCTTAAAACTCAAACCTTTAATTCTTTTTTTTTTTTTTTTTTTTTTTTTTTTTTGCATTTCTACACCTTCTGCTTTTAGTCTGGGCTCATCCTATTGGCTCTCATCCCTAGAGATAGACTGACTGGGATGACTTTTCATCCTCATTGCCCCCACTCTGGTCTAAGTCATCATCACCTACTATTCTCTAAGAGCCAATTCTCTGGCTCCCTGCCTCCACACCCAGCCCCCACAACCTGTCTCCACACAGAAGAGTGACTTTTGAAAGGTGAAATCCTGTCATAGCTCTGCTTCCTCTTTTAGTCCTTCCATGGTTATAAGCAGAATAAAAGGTAAAGTCTTTCACTTGAGAATCAAGCTCTCTGAGCTGGGTCCTGCCTACTTCTCTGGTCTTGCTGTCTTGTCTCCCTTTTTTGCTAAATGCCCACCATACTGGACCTTTCAGGGGCATACTTCCTTCCCAGTGTCACACCACTGCCTTCTACAGGTGTGTGTCTCTACTCACACATTGCCTCTTCGGAGAACACCTCCTGGAGAGCCACAGGTATTCACGATCATAGCCCTTGTTCCTCTCTACCAGGCAACGCTGTTCTATTTATTTTTTAACACTGACTGCTATCTGAAACAATGTGTATATTTACCATTTGTCTCCCTCACTGGAATGAAAAGCGAGAAAAGGCTTCCCTCTTGCTCACTACTGAAATCTCAGGAACAGTTCCTAGAATGAATGAGGTCCACTCCTACCATCAATCATTTAAGAAGTTGGGAGAATTTAGCACAGCTCACAGATCTGTGAAGGGGCAGCCACTCACTCGATAGAAGGCATGTTGGGTGCAGACATCGGGCTGACCTCCTTGGCCTTCTGCAGTGCATGTTTCTGGTTGAAGGCCTCCTCTTCCTCCTGCTCATCCTAGACACAAAGCAGAGATGGCTTTGCCTAGAATCTCTATGAAGGAGAGGAGCTTCCTGGGCCTCTCTCCAGAGTTCTGAAGACCAGTAAAGTTTGGCAAGCAGAGGAAGAGGTTAACAAAGCATCATGAGATTAAGTTGGCTTAGAGTCTTCCAATGGTCAGAGGCCAGGGCCATTGGGAAACAGCAGCCTCAAGCTCCCACAAGGCGAGCCACCACAGTCTCTGCCCTGTCTCCACAGGCTGTGTAGGACGGCCAGGAGACATCCACCTACCCCCAGCACTCAGTGCAACTGCCCATGACTGCAAAGGAAGGCAGCAGCAAGAATCCCAGTGCTCAGACGCTCCACAGTGTCTGGAGCTGATGGAGCAGGGTGTTTCCAGGCACAGCCCCAGGATGTGAGCCCTGAGTATGAGGCCCGGGTGTGAGCACCCAGCACAGTGTCTCCCCAGCCCAGCTAAGCCCTCTCACCCTGAGTGCTCAGCAGAGACCTCATTCCCTCACTTGAATTCCTGCATGTAAGTCTTGACACCAAGGAAAAGCAGTTCAGGTAAAGTGATTGGAACTGTTAAGACTACATACATCTTCCCAGCAGGTTCTGCTTTTCATACATCATTTCACTGGTTCTTTGTAGAAATTCTATGAGAAATATACATCCCCATCTTACACATGGGGAAAACTGATATTAATGAAGATCAGGCCTCTAGCCAAAGCTAAAACAGACAATAACTGGAAGGTATAAAATTCAAACCCAATTTTTTCAGATATTAAACCTAGCATTTCTACTTCCATATCATACAGGAAAGAAGTTTCCCCAGGAACGTAGAGAAGAACAGGTAACACATGAGAAAATATATATTGAAAAGCTCAAAAGCATTACCAGGATGTTTTGTGCCTCTGCCTGAAACCAAACTTGTGCTGTGTGGGGGAAAAGAGTTTATACTCTCCCTAGACCATGCTACTACAGCTAGCATTGCCTCCTCCTCTGCAGAATCAAAGGATAGGAAGAAACAAACTGACAAATTGAAACTTCCCCAGAATGCCCATGGCCACCAGAATACCCCAATGTCCACAGTCCAGGAAATACTATGCCCCTGGCTTCTTCTTAAAGATTAGGTCCCCTAGGTGGGGTCACAAGGCCACAAGTCACAGTAGCAAGGAGATTTTAAACCCAGGAATTTAGTGTTTTTCTTACTCCCTATGTCATAATCCTAGAAAGGACCTCTCTAAAGACTCATAGGGATGAGCTATTATTATCCATATCAGACAAAGGATACCCAGGCTGGTCTAAAAGTCACCAAATTCAGTGAAAGGGAACCAGGTTTCCTGCATGAGTGTGTGGTTCTCTAACTACCTAGAGCCTCCTAAAAGAAGCCTTCCTGGCAGCCTAAGTTAGACAAATATAGATGCCCTGAGAGAGCTGCCAAGAGCAGAAGGGACTGAAGAGACATCTGATCCCCAGAAAGCAATGCTTACCTTGGTCAGCTCCTGGGCATTGGCCAGATTGTCCACAGCAATGGCCAAGAAGACATTCAGTAGTGTATCTGTGAGTTATGAGTTAAGGATGGCCAAGCAAAAATATTCAAAGGTTTCAGCAACTCTGAGAGGGCGCCTCCATGAGTTTTCTGTTTGAACCTTGCAGAACCAGTTACAAACTGCGGGAGGCAGGAAGAGATGAGCTAGAAGCAGACAGATTTCACCTCCTTCCACACATCATCTTTTTCTTCACACAGGCCGAAGAAATATCTGAAACAAACCACTCAGGAGACCATATGTGGTGAAGAGACCTTCTCACATATATGACCTCAACCCATCCATGGCAATAACTAATAGCAGAATCATTGAACAGCAAGATGTATAAGGAGCTTTCTGTTGTTTCGCCTTCGGGGGGGGGGGCAAAATTGAGTACCGTCTGGACCAACGGGCGTCATGCTACCCTGTCCTTAAAGGGAAAAATAAATGAGATCCCACAACCCCTGCTAATGACCAACTTTCAAAAATGGTACACTCACTTATTTCTCTCATTCTTCTTCTTGGGGTCCTAGAAGATTTCCATGGTTCATTTAACAAAATGTCACAGTGAGCAGACCTGATTCATTATGAAATCTATTTCTATTTCACGCTATTACACCTGAAGTCCCAATTTTCTGACTGTCTTTGCCTTCAGGTGATAGCATGACACAAAACTGGCTCTAGTGTAGAAAGCCAGATCTGGTTCTCCTCAGAATAAAAAGAAAATTAACGTGCTGTCATGACGGGCTGGCCTTCCACTTCTGTGACTCTGTATACTGCATAACTTTCTTTCTATAAATTTCTCATGATTATAGTCTCCACTGACCCCCAGAATCTTTCAGAGCAGAAATCACAATAGAGTATTTCCTTGCTGTGCTACTGTAGAAAAATGCAAACAGGCAGCCGCACCACAACTCGCCTTTTTTTCTTCTTCTGATCTCAAAACAAGGCAAGTCCTGGTTCTCAAATTTCTATTGCTTGTATAGAGATCATATAAAGTTTGAAGCTCAGAAGGTGTATTCTGATAATTACTTTGGTTAATATTTACAATTAACAGAGGAGATATTGCTATCCTCCTTCAAGATGTGAAAAACAAACTCAGGCACTTTTCCAAGGCAACAGCTCTGGTAAGCGGAGTTTCTGAGATTCAAACCTAAGTCTTCCTGATCTAGGGATTTTGGGCACATACACGCTTTGGTGTTCAAGGATTGTGTTTCTTTTTCTTTCTTTTTTAAATGTATTTAGTACAGGGTCTACAGGATCTCACTATACAAATCAGACTTGTAATGATCTTCCTATTTTCAGCCTCCCAAGCACTGGGATCATAGGTACATGCCACCACGCCTAGTCTCAATCACCATCTCAGCATGCCCCAGCAGCAGGGCTGGTACGACATGCCAAGGATTGAACCTCAGCCACTGCACTCTGCCTAAGCAGGTGCTTTAGTCCACTGAGCTGTCTGGCCAGCCCACAAGGATTCAATTTCGAGTCATCTTTTACAATTTGGAAGATACTTGACTTAATCAAATTATCTCTTCCCTCTTCCTAAGTTAAGAGTTAGATGAAAAATAGTGTTTGTTGACCTTGGTAGAAGGTCTCACATGTAGCACAGATACAATAAATACTAGCTACTGTGATGATTAATCTTGACTCCAACTTGATTGGCCTGACAGCAGTCTAGGAGATTAGTAAAGTACCCCCTTGGATATGTGCAGGCAGGTCATGAGAGCATGGAGCATGGCAAGACTATATCTGGTTACCAGCCCCTTCTACTTGGCTGTTTCTCCATCTTTCTGCTTCCTGGGTGTTAGGATGTGGGCAGTTTCTTCTAGTATGCTTTTCTGCCATGAGGTTTCTAGCTTGGTACTAGCCCACTGTTGATCTAAACCTTGGGTACAGTATCCAATCCCCTTCCCTTCTTCTGTGACACTGTTCTCTCACTCTGCTTTCTCACTGCCACAAGTTAAGCTTTTTGTTTCTTCCAGTCCACTTCTACTATGATGTTTCTGCCTCAAAGTCAGCTAACCATGTGGAGAAATCCCTGAAGCCAGGAGATAAACCCTTTCTCCCCTAACTTGTACATAGCAATATTCTGCCCCAGTATGGAAATGTGACCACTGTAGCTATACAAAATCATATTAGCATTGATCATAATACTCATACTTTTGAGATCTTACAATGTGGCAGGCTGTGTTCTATATGACTGCATAATTAACTCATAATATAATCTAGCCACTATTTCAGCCTATAGTGATCTCTATCCCCTCACTTTTTACCCAGATAATAACTCCAACCATTCAAAATAACACCTTTGAATGTCATTATATATGCATACTACACATTTGGATGATAATCAATTTATGTTTCTATTTCTTACACAACTAGTGTACAAGTATTTTCAGGTTACAGTTCCTTTAGTACACCAAGCAATGTCCACAGCCTGCCCTTTGAATTCCCCAGCTCTATCATCATTACCGCCACCATCTTCTCTTCAAGTGCTGGTCCAAGAAGGTACCAGGTTAAAGAAGAACATTTTTAAAGGATACAGTTTCCAAACAAGGTAAGCACAATGAAGTAGATGGCTGACCACATGCCTGAGCTGACTCCACCCTGGGAACGGATCCCATTGTACATCACCTCATTCCAGTCCTCCCCTGTCAGGATCTACACAGAGAAAACAGCAGGCACATCAGAACTCCAAGGAGGCAGGGAAGAGTGGGCCCATGCAAAGGGGAGACACCGCAGTTGGCTCTTTCCTATTTCCTCCTTGCTTGCACCTTCTGCCACAGGAGAAGTCATTCCCATGAATAGTTGGGGTTTTTGGTTTTTTTTTTTTTTTTTTTTTTTTTTTGTATTTTAGGGAAGGGTCTACCGAGTGTTCAGGGCCTCACTACTATCTCAGACTCGTAGTGATCTGCCTGTTTACAGCCTCCCAAGAGCTGGGATTACAGGCGCGCATCACCAAGCCCAGTCTTAATTGCCATCTCAGTGTGGCCCCGGGGGTGGGGCCAGCACAGCAGGCCTGGAGATTGAATCCCTGGCCCCTGCCCCTGTTTGCAGACACTTTAATCCACTGAGCTATTTGGCCAGCCTTTCCCATGAATAGTTCTAAAAGTTGGTTTTTTTTTTTCTTTTTCTTTCTTTTTTTTTGATAAGGAAGAGAATTTTAGGTCTTAAAAATGGAAGGAGAACTTCATGAAGAAAGGCTCAGAGCTTTACTACAAAATTCCTCCCACCTTCAGCTCAGCGAGGTAGTCTCATCACTACCCAAGTGTCACCAGAGCTGCCAACATGGAACTCCCAAGACGGTAAGATTATTGGAAAGAGCCCTATAAGATGCAGTTGGGAAACTTGGGTTTGTTTCAGCCTCAGATTCTAACTACTAGGTTATTTTCTTCATCTGTAAGGCTGTAAACACTACTGATGTTGAATTTTCTATGTGCTTTAAAAAGCTTTTTTCTTTGGAGGAAACATAGAAAAAAAATATCTCACTAGATCGATACAAGGGTTAGAAGATGCTCCAGATCTCAGAAATCCATAAACACGATTTGTGACTGTTTCAGAATCCATGTCCTGCAACCCCACAGGGGTTGGAGGAAAGACAATAAGGGGATGTTAATGCAGTTCTTTTGTTATTTGTAAGACTGCAGCCCCAGAAGTCTGAGGATGGTGGTAAGAACTACTCAAAAGGGAAAGAAGACTCTGTTAATTGGGAGGGACCAAGCAGGAAAAACAGACATCTTGACCCTGTCACCCTGTAGTATATGGTACAGGGAACCTCATAATCACATTTCTAGACCTTTGGTTAGCCTCATACCTGGAACACAGTCATGATAGCTGCAGGGAAGGTATCAAAATTTGCTGAAGGAGTCCCATCATTGAAGTTAAACCTGCAAAAGAAATTCAGAGAGAAAATGCGATGGAACTCTCACATGTCAAATTTCCCTTCCCTGAGACCACACAGCTTCATCTCTTCTTTTCCCTTTCTCCAAGTTTCTTGTACCTTGCTTTTCCTCAACTTATAAAATTGGAAGCAGTGACTATGATAAAATATACACTTTTCAAAGTGCGGGCAATAAGACAGGGTTTGAGCTGATCATTCATTACAGGCCTCAAGGTTGTATATTTCAGAGACAGTGCCCAAGGAACAGGTTCCCAGAGTAAGACCCTTGTGTGGTGTAAAGGGTTAAAAGTAGCCACAGCTGTCCCACATGTGTCCTTATGGTCTCTTAATGACTAGACAAGAGTGAACAAGGTGGCAAACAGGGAGATCAAATCAATGATCCTGGTGTCGGCAGGCCTGAGGTGGTTCAGAACCTCCTTCCGGTGGAAAGTGCTTGGAACTTACCTGCCTCCAAATAGTTGCATGCCTAGAAGAGCGAAAACGACAATGAAGAGGAAGAGGAGGAAGAGCAAGCTGATGATGGACTTCATGGAGCTCATCAGGGAGACCACCAAATTCCGAAGAGATGCCCAGTACCTGTGAAATCCAGATGCAGTTATGACAGCGGACACTAAATATCGTGTCACCCACAAGTTGAGCTCAGCATCTTCCTGGAAATTTGTAAAATAAGCTGCATTCATAGAACTTCAGAAAGAAAAGGTAATTTCCCTTAGGAATACAGCATTTGATCTGGTCCCAGAGATATTTTTCTAGTTCAATATTTGGAGGAGAAGCTAAAGAATGGAATGGGGGTGGGCCGAGGGAGGGAAAGGTGGGGCCAAGTGGGGTGGATGAAAAAACAAGGGATAGAAGGACATGTCATAAAGCAGAGAGAGGTTCCATCCTCAAAGATATTGGGAAGAGTTCAAGTTCTCATCACTTACTTGGTTATTTTAAATATTCTCAAAAGCCGAAGAGCTCGCAAAACACTGATTCCAAAAGATGTACCAGGTCTGAAGATTGCCCAGACTACTTCAAAGATGCTGCCCACTGTGACCTAAAAAGCAACTCACCACAGTGAGACAAAGGAAGAGGAGAAGACAAGCATTCTGGATTCAGCACACAGTCAACAGCTCTCACTGGGCTACGGAGCAATTAAAATTCTCCCCTCCTCACGCAGCCCCCATCTCTGCCAGGGCTACCTAGGTGTGAACGAGAAAACAAGACTTCTACTCCTTGTCCACTGCCTTCCATTCCTCTTCCTAACTTTATCCCTTTGCCCTCCAATTGACCTCCTTACACCTGATCTTGGTGACACCTACAGCAGCCAATCACTACTTCTGTGCAAACTTGGCAGTCATGGCTGTTTTTGCCTCCTTTTACCTTGAACAAAAAAGAAGACAGACGCAGAGCACAGAAACCAATTTGAATGAGTACAGGTTGTGCTCCAACACAGAAATCAGAGAGAGGCCCTAGATCCTCTCATCATTCTAAAATGTAGTACTAACAAGAATATTTTGCTTCTCAATTCAGTATCTTTTGGTCACTGAGGTCCCACACCCCCTCCATGTGACAATCTGTTGATATGGGGCCTTGCTATAGGATGCAGCAATTTTAAGTTAATGTTTTAAGTATTTTTTACTTTAATTATATATTTACTGAATGTCTACTATGTTCCACATGTTGTGCTTGGAGAAATAACAAAAATAAATCCTCATGGTGACGCTAACAAGCATGTACATGAGGACACCAAGGTTAAAATGGTCTCTCGCTAGCTGTTATGCCTGAAAATTGCCTGTACTCAGAACCATATGTTCCAAGTGAAAATGTAAATTGGCAAGTGCTCAAAATCCTTAGCACCTCACTGAGGCTTCGGCAGAATAGAAGTGGGTTTGGCAGAATAGAAGTGGCTCAGGAACCCCAAGTTCTGTGGCTTCATTCTGCCACTGACTGATTCGACCCTGAGGGTAGTGGCCCCTATTTACCTATGTGAAAGGGGTGAGTTATCGCCTGCCATCTCAAGTAGAGCAGGCACCTTATGCGAACAGCACAGGAGAAGAACACATGGATGGCTGCACTTTTACAATGACCACAACCCCCATCTAGATGTCACATAGGAAGTAAACAGCTGTATGAAATGCTCCCTAATACAGGGTATGTGTGTTTGCATGGAGGTTTATCTAAATAATTATGCTAATTTTAAACTCAAGTAGAAAGAAAAGCCCCAAATACATAACCTTCTCTTTCTTGTGGAAACACCTCTAGAATTAAGTCCTTTGTCCTTCTCTTCCAGACTTCCTCCAAGATAATAAATGGTTCAAAACTCTGGCTAGGGTAGCTTTGTAAAAACCTCACTGAGCTATATACTTAAGCATGTACTCTTTAGTGTATGTATTATACATCAATAAAAATATTAAAAATCAAAGCACTTTTAAGAAAAGCAAATAAGCCCTAGCGTGGCAAGGATTCATTCACTTCTGAAACTCCCTTTAGCTCGTCTTACCTGTTTTCCTTTTATAAATTCTAATTCCAGTGGTTCATGCTGAGTGGTACAGCAAGCTGCTTATCAGAAACCATGCCCTAGCAACATGAAGTATCAGGACAGGGAGGTTTCCGAGGACTTACCCCAAAATCAAAGCAGTTGAACGAAGAGTGAAAATAAAGGCGAGGCCCCATGCCGTACATCTTCAGGGACATCTCCAAGAGGAAGAGTCCAAGAAACAAAAATTCTGCATAGTCTGAAAGTATTAAAGGTAGAGCATTGGTTCTCCAGAGAGTGTGAGCTCCTGCACTTAGCAATGAATCCACCCACCTATGGAGGAACCCACAAGACACTGCAAGGACATGTGGCAGCCATGTCAGGTCAGTGCCAGGCAAAGCCTACCAGGCAAAGCCAGAGTGAGTTTCAGGCTCACTCAAAAGATCAGTTTTCCTCTCTTTCAATAGGCTGGCTTAGCATTATCCCTTCGTGGAGGGTAGTCTTCGAGGAGAAAGAAAGAACTTCACCATGGCTTTGATGGAAGAGCTGGCATCCACCCTCCATAGACCCAACCCTAAACATCTCCTCACCATCGCTCACACGCAGTGGCAGTCCTATCCAGAGCTGCCCTTTAAGTTCCCTTTTTGGCCCACTTGGGGGACCTTAAGAACTCCCTCACCAGGACTTCAGTAACCCCAATTCTTACACCACTGAACCTCCTTAAGAACCTGAGCGAAGGTCTTCTAGCACCCATGTGTAACTTGTTAACTCATCTGCCAGGGTCTCCTTGCTTGATTCAGTCATACAGGAAGGCTGAAAACAGCAAGGAGTAGGCCACCTCCTTGCAGCTAGCTCTGGCCTCTCTCCCAATAGAATGGGCAGAACTCTGGGCTGGGAAAAGCACGCTGCCAGGCTAAGCCTGCTCTGCCCTCTTACATCCACTCACATCCCCATCAATCTGTCCCCAGGAGGGCCCACAGCCACCCTTCACTTACAGAGGAGGTGAGTGAGCCACTGGGGCTGGTTGTGATGCACGATGGCTACGCAGGCGGTGTTGAGAGCCACCAGGCTCAGGACAATCCAGTAAAACACCTGGGATTTAACCATGTGGCGAATTGAGATGCGGAGAAGCCTTTCCTTGTGCCGGAAATAAGAAGCTCCATCGACCTTCGTGCTCTTGATACTGGCTCGGGCAAGCGGTGTGCCTGGGAGGGAGAAATGGAGAGGCAGTATGAGGCTGCAGCATGCCCTGACCGTGCGCGGTGGCCAGGTGGCATCTGCAGGGCAAGGTGGGCAGCTTGAACCTTGGGGGAAGGCGACTGCCAGAGTGTAGGCCTGAGCGAGTCTGATTTTTTAAGTTACTTCTACCAGCAATGACCCTGTTCTCCTCTCCAGGCACTCACAGTCCTAGTAAATTGAAAGATTCCCAGGCAGGACACGACCCAAACACCTAACGTCATGAGTCCTAGCAGGACCATGTTCATGTTTGCAATGGATCGGGCTTCTCTCTGCCCTTCCGTTTTAAAGGCACCAGAACCCTTCTGCTGCCCTTGTGATATTCCTGCCACCGGCAACACAAAGCATCAATGAGCTTGTGAGTCTCTTCTGCTCTTAAGGATGGAGGGATAGCCTGCCATTATTCTGGGGAAGAAAAGCGTATCTACAGCCAGAATCTGTAAGAGAACCTGGGATTGAACTTCAGTCACATCAAAGGGTTTTTAAGAGGAGTTAGTTTAAATTTCACAGGATGGAAGTAGGTGGGTTCTACTATGGGTAAGAAATGACTTCAAGTTCTCGCATCTAGGTCACTAGAAGAAATCAATCTTCAGGATCCTTTGAAAAACACAGGTTGAAGATCATATCCAAAAGACTAGAAACCAGAGGCATTTCAGATTGTTCCTCAAGTATTGGAATGTTTGCTATGCATAACAAAACACCTTGGGGAAGAGACCCAAGTTTATGAAATTCATTCATGTTTCAAATATGCACATAGCTAGAAGGAAATTAAGAGCACACAATCTTCTTAATTTTGTGCAAGGAAACAAATTCTGACATGGGATTTTCCACTTGTAGCACCATATCATTGCTCAAGGAGCTTCTGACTCTAGAGCCATTCAGATTTCAGATTTTTGGATTTGGGATGTTCAACCTGTATCCCAAAGTACATTCTCAGTATCACAACCCAGGAAAGAGAATATATCTGCAAATGAGAAACAAATGCCACACTTGGAGAACCCCCACACCCCACATTTCATGTAAGCAGCATCCCCTGGTCCTCTTTTCTCCTGTAAATCATTGACAGATAGATTAGATTCCCACACCTTCCCTTAACTACGATCCTAAATTCTGAATCCTTGGGGTTCTTTTCCTCCTTGTGGTTCTTCTCAAAAGACAGAATCTTCGTTTTCATGGGAGATCCAGAGAAGAAAAAGAAGATCTAACTGGATCACTCACCCACAGAAGAGATATCAACGCAGTGCTCATCGCTGGAATCTCGGGTCATGGCCTCCGTCCGGCTCCTTTTGATGGTGGCCCTTCGAAGCACTACGCCAGGGAAGGGGAAGGCCAGTGAGAGGCCACAAGTACACCCAGACCATCCTGGACAAAACTTTGAGGACTGTGGGCCAGAGGCCTTGTGCAAGGACTCTGTGACACAGGCGCCTGCCTTTCATATTGCACGAGGTTGATGAGATTGAGAGTGTGTGTAGATGCTTGCCAGCACCTGCTGAAACCCCAGGGCTCTGGAATCCTTGCTAGAACTTAGCCAAATGCTGTGGGTAAGCAGACACTTCCTAGCTATTTGTTCTGGCTCTTCAGAAACAGCGCCACTTCCTGGTAATGAAAGTGGTCTCAAGATGGTCCCTACAAATTGTACAAGAAGATCCCTGTCTACATCACGGGTTGGACGCTGGCCTTTTCATTCCAGAGCATCAGTCACATGCCCTGGAACAAAGCAACTCTCAGGTTTCGTTTTCATCACTTTAAAGGGCATTTGAATCTGTGACTCAAATCGCTTCACTTTAAAGCATGAGGGATTTTACTGCACAGAGACTTGCGTTTCAAATCCCAGAGCATCTCTGTTTTCTTTTTCTCTCTTCCTCTTTTGAACAAGAGAGATTGCCATGGCAAGAGAGGGGCAAATGCACGGTAGCACTTTCTTACCTTCTAAGGCTGATGTCCCAGAATTTTTATTTTCTTCAGCAAGCATGACTTCCTCTGTGGAGAAACAAATGGTTTAGTAAATTACCTGTAAATTCCAAATTATTGTGCAAAATGAGCAGCCCTCAGGGATATCTCTGACTCAAAGTAATGACAGTGAGCAAAAGGTTCAGAACCTGTCACAGGCATAGAAAGAGAGCAAGAGTCACCAGGGAGCACAGAGTACCAAGTCTACATATGATGCCCTTGCTCAGCATGTACCTTGGAAAGGGGACTCTTTCTAGTCAAGATCCCAAAGATTTATAGGAGTGAAAGAGTTCCATTTCTGTTTTTATTTTCACTCAGGGTTCTCTCCTAAGTCCCTAGGATTTTTCTAACAAAGGAGTTTTTTTTAATTTCTCTTGTCTGTGCCGCCCCCCCACCCCAGGCCATAATTCCTACTCTCTTATTCAGGAGATAAAATTGGGCTTTGAGCATCATCCTGTCCACATCTCTGAGGATGGAACTGAGGGAAGGTTTTTGTTTTGTTTTATTTTTTGTTTTTGGTACCAGAGATCAAACTCAGGACTTTGCTCTTTCCAGGTAGGCACTTATACTGCTGAGCTATCTCCCTGGCCCTGAGGAAGAACCATAAAGGTCAGAGAGGAAAGCACTGTGGTCTATTTCCTTACTGTTTCTACCCTGTCTCTGTGAAGCGGAGCTTGGGTCCACCATGATTTGTCCCTATGGAATAACCAAAAAAAAAAAAAAAAAAAATAGGGTTTTGTTAGTAGTTCCTGGCACAGAGCTCTCCTGAGTGCTAATGGAATGGATGCTGGAGAAGAGAGGGACCCTGGTTGGCTTCAAGCATGGCAGATAGTAGAAGCCCAACTAGATGGTTAGAGAGCTAGATTCCCTTCATCCCCTGCCTCCGGGAAGGACAGAGAGGTGTGATTGAGTTCAATCACAATGAACAATGATTTAATCATGCTGCTCAAGAAAAACAATCTCCATAAATCCCTCTAAGCCACAGGGTCTGGGAGTTTCTGGGTTGGTGAGCGCCTCCCTCTGCTGGGAGGGCATACCTTGCCCTGCGTGGCTTTTTTTTATCAGCCATTCCAGTTGTAACCCTTATAACAAACCAGTAAGTGTTGTTTATCCTCAGTTGTGTAACTCATTCTCAAAAATTATAGAATCTTCAGGCAGTGGGAGGTGGAGCGATGCAGGGATTGCAAGATCCCACAAAATTGTACTCATCCAAGGAGAAATGTGGGTCACCTCAGTGTCACCTGGGGGCCTTTAATCTTGAGGATCTGTGATAACTTTGGGTAGTCTTAACTCCTTCACTTGAATTATTAGCCACACAGATGCTCCTATAAAAATGATGCACTTGTTGGTGTGAATAAAGCCATTTTAATACGCTGAGCTGTAAAAGGCTCAAGTCAACAACTTCTGACACTGCCAGTCCTACCAATAACCCACTATTATTATGCACTACTGGACTATATTGGATTATTTTGCTGAATTCATGTACCTACAATATTTAAATGGCAATGGAATACCCATCTCTGACAAAACTAAATAAAAAGGGGGATATAAATGAAGGACCATTTTGTATCTGTATACACAAAATAGGATAGATATACAGCTACTTTCTCTTAATTCAATGAGAAGAAAGATTTGTACTAATAGTGTTTGGACAGGATATCATGTCTGCATCTTGTACTATGAATAACTACTTCGAAGACAACAATATTCAATATATTAATTATTGTAACTGTCCTACTAACCTGTTTTGAAACTGTCTCATTGCTATTTGTTTCTCAAAATAAAAAAAAAAAAAGAATTTGTTTTTGGTTCATGTTTGGAAGAACACCATACTATCCCTAGGTTTAAAAGGTCCTCTACTCCAGAGAGGCGTCATGACCTAAGGTACACTATTTTCTACAAAGTCCTGTTGTAATAAACATCACTAGCATCCCTCTAAAGCAACCAACAAGTAGCACTTCTACCGCTCCTGGGTGCCCCCTGGGAATGGCGTGAAGAGCTTTGGATTCTCAGCCAGTCTCAACAGATAGGTTAGGGAGGAGGGGGCTGTAACAGTCACCCCTGAAGATCCCAGATGCTGGGGGAAAGCTTGTGACAGTGCCAGTTAAACAATAGTTCAATGTAAGCACTTGTAACAAGTAGAAGGACAAGTAGGAGGGTAAAGTCATTACTGTAATTTCGCCTGCATATAAAACTGAGAGTATGTAATGTATTTCCCAGGGAACATTTTGAGGCTTGGACATTACTATGCAGGGTGGCCATTAGGCCAAGTCATAAATGTTTAGCTTTCTGTTTTTAAATGCAGCCTCTGGCAGAACACTGAGTTAACAGGTTAAGTGTTATTGGTTGGGCATTTCTTCATGGAGACAGGCAAGAGTTTTAAAGGCATTTTACAGCACAAGTTGTTTGGAGGGCATCGTTTTAAAATTAGGTCTTTGGTAAAGTACCTCCTAACAGCATTAATTACCTTGCCTGAAGAGGCACTTTTGCTTCAAAGTGTCTGGCTTTGGGCTGGGGAGGTCTGAGAAGCCCCCAAGGCAGATAGAAGGTGTGGTGATGCTGAGGATCTCTGGGAAAAGCTGAGGCGCTGGGCGCCTTGAAACCACCCCTCCCCCACCGATGCCTTTTGCCAAGTTCGCTTTCAAACTTGAGTGTCTTTCCAGGGAAATGTAACCCATATGTCTCTGATTCACTCATGCTCCATTTGTAAAGGGAAGGGCCAGGAAGTGCAACTCGACGTTGCAGTGCGTCTTTTTTCTTAGAAGGAGAGAGCTGGCTTTGCCAAGTGGAAGAAAGGGAAGCCTTGGAATTTTCCAAATATCTGAAAAGTACACCATAGAAAAGCAGCAGAGCTGGCCACCTGACCCTGTGTGGGGTCACAGCCGGTGCTGGGAAGATTCTCTTCTGGTTCTGCTGCCAGCTCACTCCAGTCTGTCAGATGGCTCCTGTACCAAGTATGCCAGGGACAGTTGGGAACAGCAAGCTGCCTGCCTAACCTGGAGGCAGATCAGTTCACCCTCCTATGGTAACGCTGAGTTTCTGTTTCAGGAAGAGGTAGGGAGAGTCATACTTACAACGCCCTACACAACTGCCTTGACGGAGTAAGCACGAAATGAGCACTCATTCAACAGGCATTGCTTACACTTTTGGAGGCAACAAGAAAGTGTGTCTGTTCCTCATAGGGATGTTTCTCTGCCTTTCCCCATATTTGCATTCCCTCAGGCCTCACAGATCATCAGAGGCTGACTCCAGAACTTTCTGACCTTTTTGTGTGACAGTGATCAGACTAAGGGTGTCATTCTAAAGCTCTTGCAGAAGTAGAAAGTTCAGGCAACTAAGCATCAAATCATACTCCAAAATTTTCTTGTGTGACCTCACATTTGTGTTAGGGCTTCTATTAAGCATAGAGAAGGATGCTGCTGGGGCTGGCAAGATAGCTCAGCAGACTAAAGCATCTGCTGGGGCAAGCTTAAGCAAGCACAGGGACCGTGGCTGGATCCCTGGCACCACACGCTATGCCAGCCCCACCCGCAGGGTGGGCTGAACCAGCCACAAGAAAAAAAAAGAAAAGAATGAGGACACTGCCTGATCTGTATTATTTTTCACTGGAAGAAAAAAAATGAATATATATGTATATATATTTTTCCCAACTGTTAAAAGAATAATGCAAGTATATGCATTCTTTTTATTGACAGATAAACAGTGATTGACTGATTGATGCCCTCATAAACAACTGAGCCACAGCCATACTTGAATACAGTGGCTCTGTGTGGTAATGAGATCATGACAGCACAGACTCATCCTCAGTGCTAGGCCTGAACTGTTCCTGATGCTGGGCCACCGGGTGACAAGTGAGGACATTCCAGGCCATCATCTCCTATCTGCCATGGCCTTATGCTAGTCTCCCTGTCCCTGGCCTTGTCCTTTTATGCTCTATTCTCAAAGCAGAAATTAAATGTTCCTTTGAAATCTTAAATCAGAGCATGTCTGTCCTTTGCTTGCCTACAATAAAGCTGCAAACTCTTACAGTAGGCCATAAGGTCCCACATGACCACTGCTCATGCCCCAAACCACCCCCATTTTATCTCCTGCCACTCTTCCCTTGTTGACTTCCCTTCTGCCCCTGGCTCACACCTGGTCTTTCTTCTATTAGACTTGATACTGACTCTGTTCCCAGATCTTCCTGTGCCTCATCCCCTCATCTCCTTCAGTCTCCAGACAAATGGACGTGTCCCAGCCCCTCTACTGAAAACTAAGGCACATCCCACACCTTATCTTGGTCTTTCTATTATCTTCTTTCAAATTTATTATTTTGTTTATTGCTTCCCTTCCCTGTCTAGAAAAGAATGAGCTCCTCAAGACAAGAGCTTTCAAGAGTTTGTATGTTCGGCTCAAGGCTGAACCCAAGTGCCTAGAACAGGGCCTGGTACAAAGTAGATACATAAATTATATATTTGCTAAATGTATGGATAGTGGGGGTGGGGACCAGAATATAAAAGTCAGCACCCCAATCTCAATTGTAGGATTACTTTTTCCTTTGTTCATCCCGCTAACATGCTTGCCTTGTGAAAGGTGTCTGCTAGAAGAAGTGGGAAAGTCAGACTCAACAAAAGAAAGTGGGACCCACGGAAAACCGAACACCTTGCAAGGCAGTCAGAGCAGCTCTCTACTCTCTTCTGGGCTAATCTGGAGTGGAGACAGTGTGAAGGCACAGTCCCTGATACCTAGACTTCCCACTTCCCCAAGTCCTTCTAGCCCGCAGCCTCACCGGCTTTGTCAATCCAGGCCCGGTAGCCATTCAGCTCACGCTCAATCTGCTGCTGGCGCCGCAGTTTCATGAATGCTCTCCTGTTCTCCACTCGCTCTCTCTCTTTGGCAAATTCCCTGTGGACAAGAAGGGTAAGAGTCACTGGGTTTGGGTAGCACCATGACAAAGAGAAAGGATGAAGCAAGTAAAAGAGGGTTGGAGTGGGTCTCTTTGTACACCCCTCTTCCTCATTTCTTTGTCCTCGGCTGCAATGCAACTTCTTACTGGAGACCTACCCAGATCCTCTGCATGTCAGCGAGACACCACAGCCTTTGCTTTTGAGACAAGTTCTCAGTAAGTTGCCAAGACTTGGCTCCAGCACATGATCCTCTTTCCTCAGCCTCATGAGAAGCTGGGATAACAGGTATGTGCTCTATTTTGAGAGGAAATTTTTAGCTATCTAACAACTGAGTTTTCAAAATGCCATGTTCAGTCCCTCTGCTACAGTAGAAGCCTATAACCTTCTCAGAGCCAGAGCTATCTTTTATACTTTTGATAACAGTGTCTAATGTGTATTGGCCATTTATTATGTGCCAGTCCTGTGCAAAGTTTCTCATACTAACTCATTTATGCCTCATAGACATCCTATAAATTGATGACAGTTAAAAATCTCCATTTAACAGGTGAAGCAACCAAGGCTTGGGTGCATGAAGTAACATGCTGGGGTGTGAGCTCTAATTCTGTCTTTGTCATCATCATCTCCTTAACTTGATGGCTCCCATGGCTTCTATTAGTCTCCTTGTTTCTAGTCTGGGGTACAGGGTCTGTTCACCATGGTATCTGGTACACCGTGATGCTCAGTAAAGAGTGACATGGAAGACCAGTGGCACAGATGACTCAAAGGACTGATATGCTGTTGAAGACAACCTGGTGTTGGTTACATAGTAAAGGAAAGGACACAGGGTAAGTACCAGGTAGAAAGATAGGGGGAAGATGAGGTGAGAGGGTGAGTGGAGAGGGATAACAAGACAGAGGGAAAGCCAAGTCGAAGGTCAAGAAGAAGACAGAGTTCACTGGAAGGCAAAGAAGAACAAAGCCACCCTCTGGTACAAGGAAATGAGAAGAGTAATTCTCCATGGGAGCTGAGGGGAGGAGAAAAGAGGATTAAATTCTCCTTGGTAGGTAGAAGGCATCAAATGCAATGGGTGAACAAATGAAGATGAAGAAACAGTCACTTGTTAGATGGCTTCTCCAGTAACCAGCGTGTCAGAGTTTCCTCATCACTCAGTAAGCTCGAAGGCTAGAATTCCCCTTTGGTATTGTAGTCCCACTCAGCATGATTCAAGAGTTCTCCAACCGCCCTGGAGTCTTCTCCACTTATCCAAGGTGATCACCATAAATAAAAAGCTGTAGCTTAAAGATGAGAGTCTAGCATCGACTTTGGATCCTGCCAACCCCACCTTCATGTCCAGGGGAGAAGAAATAAGCCAAGGGCTGAGAGATGTGCCCCAGCTACCATGCAAGGAGAGGGGAGGGGCTGGTGTACCATAATAGGAGTGAGGCCTATTTGTGTCTATCTTATATTTTTATTTGGCCCTCCTGCCAACACAGAGCTGGGACTGGACCTATGATTACTACGGTTACATTAAAACTGATGGTATAGGGCAAGATTCTCCCATCTTGCCCTGTTCTTGGTGGCAGCTTCAGCAACTTCCATTAAGGGTTCTATGGTGAGAAGGAAAGAGGTAAACCTATGAGCAAGCAGGGCCAGTGAGGGTCAAGGGAACAGAAGTCAAGCACTGTGATAGCTTCTACCCCTGCCCTCCTTCCTACATTTCAGCAATGAGAGAGTATCAAAGGCTGACCAGTTCATAGTGTCACCATCCTCTGAAGTGCTTATCAATAGCTCTTTGTTTCTTTCCATCTCCTGAGTTCAATCAGTGCCACTGTTCTGTTGGTTGTAGACTCAGAAGGCCTCCTGATTCTTCCCTCTCTCTCTCTCCATCCTATTATTTGTTCAGGATCTCTTCTTTCCTTGACTGGACTATTGTGGCAGCATGGACTGAGTCTCTCCACCACTTCTCTCCCTTCTTTTAATTTCATGTATCTCATAGATATTACAGTTACCCTTTAAACACACCAAATTTCGAGTAATAAACATAGCAAGTAGCATTTGTGAAACACTTTCTAATTCACCAAGCCCCTTCCCATATGTTGCTCATTTAACCTTTGCAAGAATTCTGAAGAGAAAGCAGGATGAATGTGTTCATTCTTAACTTAAAAATAAAGCAATTTGATCAAGTTTAAATAAGATACAGAGCTAGGATTAGAGCCTGGGCCTGAGTGCTCTCAAATTCTAAGTTCCTAATTTTTTATGCTACATTCTTTACCTTCTCATGTATGTGTATCTTGATCTTTCACTTAAGCTCTGAAGGAATTAAGAAAAGTTTACTAAGATGTATTATTTTGAGCAAGATCTTGAAAAACAGAGAATCTCAGTAGGCAACAGCCACAATAGTTTTTGAGCATAGAGAGTGAACACTGTTATAAATGCCTTTGCTCTTTAGCTCAGAAAGCTGAATCTAAAGGGAATCAAGCAGTCCTTTGTGAAGATGAAAAGCCAAGCAAGGAAAGAGAGCCTTGGAGAGGAAACATAGCTCCAGGTCCTCTAAGTTCCCTTCCAGTACTCCTCGCTTCCACCTTACCAGCCTGCTCTGCCTTTCCCACATGAAGCAAAACAGTGCACTAACTATGGCCTCCAAAGTCTACCGAGGTCTAAGCCACACCTTTGACTTCAAGTCTTCTCTCACATCATTCCTGCCCATTTTCACCAGCTTGGAGAACACCACAGCCAATACTTCAGCCACAGCTCATTTCCCAAAAGGAGAAGTGGGCTTTCAAGGCAGGCTTGTACCCCTTCTCTGCCTGGAATCTGTCCGAGTCTGTCAAAATTCAAGGCCAAGCTGAAACGCTGTCTCATCCATTTAGCATTCCCTTCCCAGAGTCTTCTGTCTTCTGCTCCAGCTCTCCTCTGTCTCTGAAGAGCTCACCTACCATCAGACCTTCACTGTGATCAGATGTGCAGGTGACTGTCTCTTCATCTCCAGGAGATTTTTTGAAAATGTCCTATTACTTATTTCTACCTTCCTGCACTAAAATAGGTTTGGTACATAGTACAACTTTAATAGATTTATCATTATTACTTCTAAAAATATGAAGGCTGACTAGGAGTTCACAATGGTAGCTTTCTCCTGGTTCCCAACGCCTTCAATGAAGAAAACAGCATCTCTGCACTGACCCAAGTGAGTCAGGGAGCTAAAGCTAAGTTTTCAGTGCTGCCCCCACTCTCTCTGAAGTCTACTATACAATGTCTGTAGGATTAGTCCATGAAGCATGCAGTGCATCCCTTCTATCTGTCCCCCAGAATGACAAGATAGTTTTACTTCTGGTGGGTCAGGCAAGCAAACCCTAGTCTAACTTCCCTGTGTATTTGAAAGCTTCCTGGACCCTAGGTCATACTTACTGGCTTTCTTGTTGCAAAACCCTGGGAAATTCAGGAAAGTTACTTGCCCAAGATCACCTAGATAGAAAGGGCTGGCATTGAAATTCAAACAATTATCTTCCATTTCCAGGGTAAATGCAATTTCTACACAGCCTTAGCTGCCTCTTCTGCTAGCTAGAAGCCACAAAAGGGATTTGTGTTTCAGCCTAAGGTAGAAGGAAATAAGGATATAAAATTGAGGGTTTTTTTCTTGTGTTTTTCTTCTTCCTTAAAGGGACCTTTCATCAAGACAGCTACATGAAATCCCTATGATATGTTGAATTAATAAAGACCTAAAGTAAAATTCACAGCATTATCCAAGCTAGTGATACACAGATGATTTTGGGTCTGTATCATAGTCACCATTTATTCATACACACACAATCTGGAGGGAACAGTGCCAAATAGGATTCAGCTCCACAACCTACCAAAAATAAGTGACTATTATAATCTTAGATCTACACACTCACCAGGCTCCCGGGTGTCTAAGTGACCAGACCTGGGGAAGGGACAAATGTTTTACCAGGACTCCTCTTTGAGGATCTGACTGCACTTTCTTCACAGGATCCTGGGGGTCACTCGGATGGTGATGATGGTGATAAATTTGGAAACCCCAAAGAGAGGCTTTCTGCATATCTCAATTCATCCAGCTCCTTTGGATGAAGTCATAGGAAGTTTAGAAAAGGAACTCTGGATTATAGCAGAAGAGTGTTCATGTACCCCTAGGCCTCCTGGCACTTGCCTGTTGCTTATAGTAGGAGAATATGTAACCAGCAGCTTGTTACTTGCACACCCATCGATGGAATAGAGCCAGGATGGGATGCACCCACACTTCACGATTCCAAATATGAAGAACAAAATTAAACCCCATGTGTTACAGCAGAAATAGTGCCAGCTCTTTTCTCAGAGTGAGGTATCCAGACGTCTTTTGCTGCTAATGAACTGGGTTGTAACCTCTCAGTCACAGCTGACATTAGAAACACATAAAAACCCTCTGTTCCTAACCAGAGGTGGGAATAACTGCTCAACAAAGCCTGGCTAGATTCCTATAAAAGCTGGCACAATAGGGAAAATCCAAATTGTCTTTTATTGTAGGCGCTACTCATTACCTAATTCTGTTATCTATCACTTTAGGCCCCATCATGGCCCCCTGGGAGGATAACTTGGGGCTCCCACAAACTGTTGCTCTCACAAACATGAAAACAAGGTGAGCCTGAGGTAGGCCTGGGTGAGTCTCTATTCTGGTTGCCATATTTGCATACGAAGTTCTAAATTTCACTTATGGGATCTATAGGAAGGTTGATCTCCCTCTGGTGCGTAATGAATTTGCTTGCTTTTTCTGGTCATCCTTGTTACTGAATCCACATTTGCAACTGCTTTTGTTTTCTAGCAGTTTTACACAAGAATCATAAATTGTGAAAATCAACTTTCCATACACAACTGATTCTATATGATTCACAGTAAGGTAAAGTGGAAGAATTACAAGGATCATTTCAGACAAGGCACGATGCCACAGACATGTATCATACATGTTGAGAAGGATGAGGGCAGAGAAATCAGAGTTCTATTTCAAATCATGTTTATATTAATATCAAA